AAGAACAAAATGAGTAAATGAACCTACCTCTGTAAGAGTTGGTAGTGTAACCATATAGGGAAAATATTTTAAAGTGATTTCACAACACATTAATTTGATTTAATATACCTAGTGTGATATGCCCTAAAGATTAAAAAAAGAACAAAACTGCAAACAAAAACTCTTAATCTGTTGGCATTGTGTATCAGGATAAAGTAAATCAACATAATCATGTTGATGTCACTGGGAACTGGGATTTTTGGTATGCAAAAAAAGATGCAGAATAGATTAGGTTAAGTAAAAACTCTATATCCTGATTTAAATAGAAAGTATACGTTCATGATTTTACACACACACATGCACACACACACACACACACTTCTCAGCTCTATCATTGAAAAGGTCTTGAAGTGATAAAGAACTCAATAACAATGTGCACCCATAATGCTCAGATTATGATCTCTAATTACCATCTTTAATTCTAAGAAGATTAGGGCCCCTTAAAGGCAGATTCCAGGTCTGAAGCAGGAACTGCATAACTTAGACCTAAAACATTTGTCATACCAAAACCAAAAAAGCCATCGAAGCCTACTAAAGGCATATTAAAAGTCTCAGTAGCCAATTTGAAGTGTCACCTGATGGCCAAGAATGGGATAATTTGAGCATCAATTAGAAGAATGCTTGTCATGGGTTGAATATAGTCAGCCCTCCACATCCCATGTGGTTGGGCTCCACATTCATGGTTCAACCAACAGTGAATCAAAAATATTCAGTGGTTGGGTGTGGTGGTCCACACCTGTAATCCCAGCTACTTGGGAGGCTGAGACAGGAGGATCACTTGGGCCTGGGAGTTCAAGAACAGCCTGGGCAACATAGTGAGACTCTGTATCAAAAAAGAAAAAAAAAAAAAAAGAAAGGAAGGGAAAAAAAGGAAATTCAGGAAAAAAATTGCATGTGTACTAAACACGTACAGACTTTTTCCTTGTCATTATTCCCTAAACAATACACTATAACAACTATTTACATAGTATTTACATTGTATTAAGTACTATACATAATCTAAAGTGATTTAAAGTATATGGGAGGATGTGCATAGGTGATATGCAAATACTATACCATTTTATATCAAGGACTTGAGCGTCCACAGGCTTTGGTATATTCAAGAAGTCCTGGAACAAATCCCCCATGGAAACTGAGGGATGACTTTATTTCAAGATTAAAAAGTCGACTTACCAACTCATTATTTTCAAAATTGGTAGATGGAAGTGATCAAGTATTTAGCCCATCTTTTCTGTATTAATCATGCCTTTAACTAAATAGTTCTTGAGAAAAAAGTTTCTCCTTATATGAAAGAAATGGTCCAGTCAATAAATAAATAATGAATGATAAAATCAGAGTAGCACTATTTGGAAAACACTAATGAATCAATGAATCTAAAAAATGATAATGGCTGCTAACTACTCAAAAGGAGAAACAAACCAGGTATCATGTGCTTCCTCACAGAACTATACAATATACCTAAATATATGCAAGGTAGTCCTACCACAAAAAAGAAAAAAAAAGAGCCTACATAGGATCAAGCTTCTAGATACAACTATCGATTAATAGGAAATAGACTGTAGTTGGGGCAGAGGAACAAGTTAAAAGGCAATCAGCAAACTCCAGAATGCAGAACACTCTCTTGTGCTGCCTTCTCAATATACTGCATGAGAGAGAGAGAGAAAGCTAGACAACTAAAAATTAGGGGAGATTTAAGAGATACGCAATGGGCTGATGTTTGTATCCCCTCAAAATGCATATGTTGAAATCTTAACCCCTAAGGTGATGTTACTAGGAAGCAGGGCCTGTGGAAGGTAATTAAATCATGAGGATGCAGCCCTTGTGAATGGGATTATTGACCCCATAAAAGGGACCCCAGAGGGCTCTGTGGCTCTCTTTCTGCAACGTGAGGATGTAACAAGGAGATAAGATGGCAGTCTGTAACCCGAAAGAGGGCCCTTACCAGAACCAGACCATGCTATTGCCCTGATCTCAGACCTCCAGCCTTCAGCACTGTGAAAAATACATTTCTGTTATTTATAAATTACCCAGTCCATGGTACTTTGTTATAGCAGCCTGAACTAAAACAAGACATATGAACCAATTGTAATATACAGACTTCATTACAATTCTGATTTCAACTAGTAAAGTGTGTGGGGAAGAATTATGAGACAATGAGAAATATTTCAATGTTGACTGGATATTTAATGTAAGGCATTATTTTACGTTGTTTAAGGTGGGATAATGGCAAGGTTATGTTATTATTTTAAAAAATCCTTACCTTTTCTATAAACATGCTGAAATATGTACACTTGAAATGACGAGATGGCTGGGATTTGCTTCAAAATAATCTGAGTTGAGGGGAAATTGGAAGGGTTGCAGATGTAACTTGGAAATTGTCTCAAGTGGATGATTCTCTCTACTTTTGTATGTGCTTATAATTTTCCATATAAAAAGTTTTGAAAACAAAAATTAAAATGCTCACATTGTGAGGCTAGGCCTAAAGAAATGAGAGAGATCAGGAGAATTTCCAAATTCACGGTTAGTTAAGAAAGAACAATAAATATTAGAGGAAAAAAGTATTACTGGTTTAACTGAGCTGCAAAAATTTATTTTGCTTATGCACTATACTAAAAAAATCTTAATTACTTGAAAAAACACAGTACTAAGTAAAGGAGAGAAAACAAGTCCACCAAAGATGCAACACTACTTAATTCATTTAGGGATGAAATAAATGTGTCTGCAAGGCAACCATGAGCTCACAGAAAGCGGTGATTTCTGTACAAATGTTATTTGTCTAATAATTTTGTGCTGTTAATGACCACCCGGTTAGCTTCTTCCCTATATTTGTTTTCATATACAGGAGAAACCTATGAGTGATTCATGGAGTTCTTTAGTGACACTGGTAAGGATCTTTTACACTGTCTTGCTCGTTTCCAAGGCTTCAGCAAGAAAGGATACGAGAGAAAACAAAACTTCCTTGTCCAACCCCTACTCTTGGATGTAGCAAGGAAGTGAATTTAGCCAGCTTAGAACAAAAGATATCCTAGAATAGCACTGATGGAAGAGTAAGTTCTACATGCAATGCCCTGTTTAAATTCTCCTTTCTCCAAAATGTAAAGTGAATCTACCCATCGTCTGAAATACTATGGGACTAAAAATCCCTTTGTAATGCTGAAGAAATGCCAGTCTTCTAGTTGATTTAGGAGAGGGATGTTCTGGTCATAAAAAGATGCTGTATCTCAACAACAAACAAAACAGGAAGAAGAAAAAAAAAAAAAAAAAAAAAAAATGCTCCCCCCCACCCCCAACTGAAGTGCTCCTTTCTTAGCCTGATTTCCGAGGTCATGTCTTAATGCCTGAAGTTATTGGCTGTCTCAAAAGTGCAACTTATCCTGAGGTCCCAAGGGACAGAAAAGTTGCCGAAGTCCAAGGAATGAGTCACTTTGTTCAATTTTGATGAGTAATCTCGGGTGTCACGAAACCCCGTTCGGAGAAGGCGAGGGGAGGGGGCGTCAGATCTGCAGACGGAAGACAGGCCGCTCGGGATTGGATGGCGAGACCTCGATTTTCCTAACACTGCGTCATTTCGAACCCAATTGGGTCCAGATGTTATGGGCATCGACGAGTTACCGTCTCGGAAACTCTCAATCACGCAAGCGAAAGGAGAGGAGGCGGCTAATTAAATATTGAGGAGAAAGTCGCGTGGGGAGAGTATCGTCACGTGGGTCCCGGGGCTCGTCGAGCCTGGGATAAATACCGCAGGGCACCCAGCAGGCAAAAGAGCGCGCTCGGAACCCTCCTTCGCCGCCGCTGCCACCGAGAGCGCGGAGCCCCGCGAGCGCTCAGACCAGCCCGAGGGACCCCGCGGGCCTGTCCGCCGCAGTAAGTGCCCGCGCCTCCCGCCCTTCCCTCCCGCCGCGCCCGCGCCTCCCGCCCTTCCTTCCCGCCGCGCCGCCGTCCGAGGTGGCAGCTGGCAGCCCCAGGTGCGCCGCCGCGGCGAGGGACAGCGGGGAGACCGGTTCCCCAAATGCCAACGCCCCTTTTTGTCTTTCACCTGCAGAGCCTCCAGGTTTGAAGGTGTGGGTCGGTGGGTTGGGGGCCGGGGAGAGTTGGGAACCAGGGAGAAGAGGATGTGAGAGTCTTTAGGGCGCGATTCTCTCTCCTAAAGGGTACAGGCGAGGCTTTAGCTCTTCAGCTTTTTATCTTCCTTCTACCGAGCCTGAGTTCCGTTGTGGGGCCGAAAATTTTGCTGCCCTAACTCTTGGGTCGTCATCCCCGATATACATGTGTTCGTTTTCTCTCCTCGGTCTCTTCTTTCTCACTCTTCCTAGCAATCCAACATGAAAATCCTCGTGGCCTTGGCAGTCTTTTTTCTCGTCTCCACTCAACTATTTGCAGAAGAAATCGGAGCCAATGATGATCTGAATTATTGGTCCGACTGGTCTGACAGTGACCAGATCAAGGTGAGACTCCGTCCCGGGATGGCCCGTGCCATTCTCCCCGGGCTTGGGAGCTGTCGCCTTCCCCCGCGGTAGCACCCTAGTTAGCCTGGCAGGCACGGCGACCGCGACAGGAGGCGGGAGGCGCGCGGCGGGGTGTGAACGGGCGTTATTGCCCGGTTCCGCACGGGATCGTGCTCCCACAATTCCAGTATCCTCCTGAGGGCTGCACGGTCCGGTCCAGGAACTCTCTGGAGGAGGGGCGGCCTCCGTAGCGAGCCCGGGAGCCTCACCAGGTTTCACCCCCAGTAAGGGGACCTCGAGGACTCATTCCGCTGCACGGCCCGAGCGTCCGGACACGCTGGGCACTGGCGGAGGAGCCGGCGCCGGCCGCCCGCAGAAGCGGGAACACCCGCGAGCTGCGGGGCATTTGCGGGGGTGGGAGGTGGGGGAAGTCAACTTCCTGCCTTGACATTTATTTTGCCGACCCGAGGCCGTAGCTTCAAGTGTCCGTGGTTCTCAGGCTATTGGCGCGAGGGAACACCTCGGGGAAACAGTGAAAGTCGTGCGGTGCAGGTCGCTTGTGAAGCGTTGTCACCCTTCGCTACCCCAACCCTCCCTTCCCCCCACACACCTGTGGGCATGAAGGCCGGTGAGGGGTCTCCAAAGCCGGCACCAGGGCCAAGACAAGGACAGGTGGCGGCGCGGCCGATGAGCGAGTCCCAGGGCTGGGAGGAATAGCGGAAAGCGCTCGGGGCTTGAGGACCGCGCGCCAGCGGCTAACTCTCCAGGGCAAGCCTAGGGGAGGCGGCGGCGCCGGCCCCCAATTCCGCAGGGACGGGCGGAGACAGGGGGAGCCCCCGACAGACCCCCGCTCAGACCTGTCATGGAAGCCGGCTTCTCCCGTTCCGGGGTGAGCGCACCACAAGGCAGCCGTGGCTCGAGCGTACCACGGGGACCGCTCGGGTTGCCTACAAGCCCGTTTGTCCGTGCGTCTGTCCCCTAGGAGGAGCTGCCGGAGCCCTTTGAGCATCTTCTGCAGAGAATCGCCCGGAGACCCAAGCCTCAGCAGTTCTTTGGATTAATGGGCAAACGGGATGCTGGTGAGATGGGCAACTGTCCCTAGGTTTCTTGGGGCTACCCGCCCTGTCTGCTTACTGGTCCCCGGAGCACCCAAGTGTTCCTTGCTCTTTGAGTAGAGATTTCCACCCCAAGAGAGGTGTTACTTCCCTCCCCCGGCGTGACTCTGGCCCGCACCTCACTAAGACATGCACAGACCCGCGGAGGGAGGGAGAGATTTATTTCGCATGCCTCACAGTATCAGAGTGACCAAACGCACCCACAGCAACTAACCTTAGGGCCTCCAGGAGGTAGTCCTCTGAATGATCCGAGCGCATGTGGAAGCTGGCTTTATAGCTTTCCCTGGGGTTAGGTGAGACTTGGCTGCCCATTGTCTCATGATAGAAATATTCAGTTTGCTTGAATTCATCGCACCATCAGTGAAACGTATGAATAGTTAATGCCAGTTCGTCTCTTGTCAGATTCCTCAATTGAAAAACAAGTGGCCCTGTTAAAGGCTCTTTATGGTAAACATTTCTATAAATCTTTACTACTGCGAATGCACATGTAGGAAAGTGAATAAAATCTTTTATGGGCTGAAATACAAGATCTCGATTATGCCTGTTTAATAAAGAGATGGATTTGCATACCTCTCTCTCTATCACTTTCTCTTTCTCTGTCTGAGTGTTAAATGGGTGTCCAGCCATGAAGATGGGAGGTGGTGTAGCCTTACAGTTAACAACAGGCCTCAAGAATCTCATAGCCTGGGTTTGAATCCATGGCCCATAGAAGGCACTTAATAAATATTCCTTTTGTTTGTCAAAACATTTGGTTTTATTATTAATAATTTGGTTAGCATTTATAAATGGAAAATGTTACATATTTTGAAAATTAACTTATTTTATAATTCTCCTTAAAAGATATAATATAGCTTCTTTAACACAAATCTATATGTGTTTGCTAATTTTATCTTTTTTTTAGGACATGGCCAGATCTCTCACAAAAGTAAGTTCAAAATTATTTTGACATTTATCAAATTTAAATGTAAAATTATACTGAATTCCACTTTATATAATGTCTTACCTTATTTTCTGTCATAACTTAGGACAATATTTTTAATTAAGACAATATAAGACTGGGAGAGACTCATGTTACATATAGAATATGATCGTTTAAAGCTCTGTGGTTTAGACATATCATACTTACCCAAAAGATGCATTACGTAAAAAAAGAAAAAGTCTTTTAACGCCTATAAATTGTTAGTTTTAGATAAAGATTTCAATCTTAGGGTTAAAAATTCACCACATACATTCCTCTTAACCCCTGCCCCATGCCCACCTCCACTACAAAAAAAAAAAAAAAAAAAAAACAAACAACAAAAAAAAAACGAGCATTTATAGATATCTTCCAACTCATCATAGTATGCTGGGTCCCATAATGACGTCATTTATTAGGGTCATCCAGCAGCAAATTAAGTGGAGTGAGTACCTAAGTAGAGAATTCATACTAAAGATAAAGACATATAGGGATACAGTTTTTTGATCCCATAATTGAATGGGAAACCTCAATCAGTGAAACATTTCTTAGGGCAGTGAAGATGGCAGAATTGTGGCACTTCAGGGTCATTAGATTTCAGCTGCCCAGTTATTGGAGCCAGAGTTGACAAGAGGTCTCAGGGGTTCATCTTCATCATATTGTCCACTCACATATCCTGTCTTGGATTTGATTCACCGGGTGGCAGAGTAGGCCACATTAGGGTAGCAACCCTAGTCTCAACTAATATGATAAAAACCCAGAGAAATTGTCCCACTAGAGTTAAAATAATAACCTTTGCCAAAGGTTTTACCTTTGAAAATGAATAAATCTTATTCATATTTACTTTCTAAGGATTTGACTTTCAAGGGAGTTATATATAGGAAAATTCTATGTCATAAAAATAAATGTATTCTATTCATGTCAAAACTAATGCACTTTTCCAAAAGAAGTATTTTTTTAAAATTCAATAAAATAAGAATAGTGAGCTTTTAGAAGATTATAATTATCAAGGATAGGAATCTGATTTAACTAAGTTTCAGTTGCTGAGAAATACAATATATTCAATAACATGAAGAAATAAGCCTGGCTATTTCTCTCACACACAATGTGACATTGACTCCCTAAATATCAAAGCTAGCTCAAAAAGCAATAATATTTAAAACTTTATATAATAGATAAAAATAATATGAATAAAGGGTACTTGCTAATATTTAGATACACAATTTAGAAAAGTGCTTTCACTGTATTGTTTTAGTGTAATTTATAAAACTTACAAGGAATCTTTACTTCTTCAGGCCCACCGAAACTTGAAATAGATACATATTTATTATATAGGCATATATTCAGGGGCTTGCTTTTTTTTTTGTACTAGTTATAACAGTTTGTTTTCTCAAAGATATACATATTAAAATACCCCTAAATGTATTTTTCCAGGGCATAAAACAGATTCCTTTGTTGGACTAATGGGCAAAAGAGCTTTAAATTCTGGTATGTATAAAATCATGACTGAAAATAGACAGTATCTCAAATCTTTTCTATTCTTTTTTTCCTAAGGCATAGTTTTCAGAGTATTAAAAAGGAATAATAGACTTAAAGTATTTATGGTGAAAAAAAATCTAATTGTAGTACTTGTGGTGAAAAAAAAAATCTAATTGTAGTACTTGTAACCAAGAATTGGATTTATAGCTGATTAAACTAATATTACCACAATATCAGTCTATTTCTCTTAAACCACCAGCCTTACCAGTGTCTGCCCTAATTAATCATTACCCAATCTGAATCTTTGGGCTAATCTAATACTCTTGCCTGTAGATGTGTTAAATAGCCACATTTCACCTTACTGAACTAAAGGGTAGAGGGTGCAGGGAGGCATGAGATCCATTTTCACTTGTTACCAAAGTAATTTGAAAGTTTTAGATGTTACATTGCAATCTTCCAACACAAAAATAAATAAACAAAACAAACAAATCCTTTATAGAAATTACTTGCTCTTTATGAAGTCGTAGAAGCTCAAAATCTAAGCGTCCTGATGGATGTTGGAGAGGATGAGTGTGGTCTGTTCCAGTGTTTTCAAAAAGGAACACAATCAAACCATCCTCAAGTGTTATAAATCAATTCTGGTTATAAAACCCTTAGAGAGAAGGGAAGCCATAGCCCATTTTAATTCTAAACAACTCTTTCACATGATATAAAGGCTGCATGTTTCCTCTCTTCTCTTTAGTTTCTCTCTTCTCTGGAAATGCCACATACATATATCTAAAAACCTTTCTTTCTTAACACACTCATCACACTGTTTTCAAGGTGAAATATATCATTCCCCTACATCATTTTCATAGAAACGTTTTGTTAAGCACATTCAGGCCTTATAGTCTTCAGCTTAGGCTCCTTTGAAAAGCTATTCAAATTCTCTTTGTTTTACCTTCTATGAAAATCGAATTAAAATACTAATCTTCTAGTTAATTAGAAAGTAATTGGCAGCTGTCTAGAAAATAATCAGTAGTTTCTAGAAAATCTATAAGATGTACTGGCTTAATTCTTAATTATTTGGATTCATGCAAAAATAATTATCCTAGTTTTTTTTTTTTTTTTTTAGTTCTCCACTTTCCAAATTTAGACACTACCTTTGTATTTCCTCACCTTTAATTTTGGGGCTTCTCGAGTGTATGTTTTAAAGAACTAATCAGTGTGCCTAATGAAAACCTTGTAATTGTTTTATTAATATATATTATCTTCCAGCTTTTGGAAGTGAAATATAAATTTAAACCACAGTGGCTTTTATTTGTATCAGTATATACTAGTCCTCATATAACTGTGGTTTTCTTGATAATAACAGTCATCAACTCTCCGTTTCCAGAATTGATATAGGTTTCAAAACATGCTTGACTTTATAAATAATATAGATACTGTGCAATTAAGAACAGATGAATTGCTGTTAAATGTGCTTAAAGTAATAACAGTTATAGTGAATGATAAATAGAATCATTTCCTGAACCAGAATCAGTTTATAACTAAATCTTTGTTCCTCCATTTTAGTTAAGAAAATATAAATGTGAAAAAAATGGGCAAAAATGTATCCATAGTCAATCAGGTATCTTTTTATATATTCATTTGATCCTTTTGTGGTCATAGACCACCCAGACAATCTGATAAATGTAGACACTCTCTCCCAGAGAAACCCTCATCAGCTCAGACACACAAAAGTTTACATATGGTTTCAGAGGGTACAAGGACCATGTAGGAAACTCTGCTTCCATACAAGAGGACATTATGTTCCAGCTAAATCACTATTCTCTCTTCAGTTAGTTTATATTGGTATTCATCTCACTTCTCTGAGGAACAGAGTCATATTACCAAAAGTTTCACAGAGACTGAACTTGTGCTACTCATCTTCCTCCTAATATAAACAAATCAGAATGAGACACAAACTGTTTCCCTCCTTCAGAACTGTCCAGTTTTGGGCTCAGATTGTTCCATCTCAGACATGCTTACAAAATTGATATAAAATGTTCATCTTATTGTTAACCTCCCTTAAGGAATGATTGAATGTTAAAGGTCAGTGTTTAAAAGGGGAAGTGATAACACTGGTGCCTTTTCCTACCTTCTCTCTCAACAAACCTCACTGAGGAAACTGGTCAAAGTAACACCTACCATTCCTACAGATCTTTAAATTCAATATTTTATATAGGGCATACTGAATTTCAAAAAGCACAGTAGTTTCACCATACTATAAATTTAAGTGTATAAAGTATTGGCTAAGATGATTGAAAATAGCCTTAGGTATTCTGATCACAATAGTCTGATTCTTACCCTTTTGTGGTTACAGATGCCTTTGAAATTATATATAATATAAAATATAACAGAATTTGGCACTTTTTGGTCCAGATTGTCAAAGTACTTGAATTACTTGCTAGCTATATGGTAAATACCCTTTGAAGCAGTATTAATCTTTCACAGGCCATTAAGGTGCTAGGAGGTAAGTTAGACAGTGTTACATTTAGATGGCTCAGTTGACTTATGTACAGAGAATGGGCTGTTTTTAGTCTCAAGGATAATCCATCACTGGGAAGTATCCACAAGAGAGGAAGAGACCCTCACACCATTGGGTGCCTCTAGTACAGAGATTGGCAAACTTTTCTGAAAAGAACCAGATTGTAAATATTTTGGACTTTATGAGCCATGTAGTCTCTGTAGCAACTACCCAAATCTGCCTTTCTAGGCCAAAGCAGCCATAAACAATACATAAATGAATGAGTGTATCTGTGTTTCTATAAAACTTTATTTATAAGAACAAATGGTAGGCTACATTTGGCCCATGGCCTGTAGTTTGTTGACCCTGTCCTAGAATAAAAGTCCCACATTTCACTTTCATCCTGCTACTATTCCTGGTTACTTCAGACATTGTCCTTTCTATACCTCTCTATGGGTGTCTGCCACTGCTGGAGAAAGCTGCTGAGAATCAGCATTGCAATATGCTAGAAACACGCATTTGGGGCAAATAACCAGAAAAAAAAAAAAAAGAGTTCTGTGGTTAGATCACTTACAATCAGGATAGAGACTGAGGCAAGATTGAAAGATATGTAGTAAAATTCTTAGAAATACTTCAAGAGAGGAAAAAAGTCATTATGAGTTTAAAATAAATTACTATATGCCTTGAACTTTGTTTAACTCCCTCCATGAATCCTCCTAAAAAACACTTTATCTCCTCTTTTTCTTCCAGTGGCTTATGAAAGGAGTGCAATGCAGAATTATGAAAGAAGACGCAAATAAACTACCTAACATATTATTTATTCAGCTTCATTCGTGTCAATGGGCAATTAAAGGTAAAATAAGATGCTCACTATGAGGAATAATTATTTATGTGATAACAATTGTTATTTTGAGTTGAAAACTCAAAAAGGTGTTTATTTTTCATATTGTGCCAATATGTGTTGTAAACATGTGTTATAATTCTAATATGATGACTCCCTCAGAAGTTGGAATCAGTGATAGTTTTGCAACAAAGCACAGTGTTCAATGAATTGTAGAACCCTGTCAATGATACAGTCTCCAAAGAAAGAAAGAATTGCTCTGAAGCAGTCATACCAGCTACTGCTAAAACTTCCGACAATCTCGTGCTTCCCTATTTTTTTCATGGTGAAAATATACTGAGATTTTGGTATCAAACTATATTTGTATCCTTGAAGCATGTTTCATGTTTGTGACTACATAAGATGTTTTTAAGAGTTTTAATGTGACTCTAAGGTCTTCTTTCCATTGTATGATGTGTTGTGATAGCTAACATTTTAAATAAAAGAAAAAATATCTTGAAGATTTTGTCATGTTCTTTTGTTAACATTTATGTCATATCGGCAACCTTTCTTTTAGTAAACCAAATATGTTCAAGCTGTTTTGTCTATAATGTAATTTCTCTCTCTCTCTCTCTCTCTCTCTCACACACACACACACACACACACACACACACACACACATATATGCATTTTTTGCTAAGCCATTTGACTTGAGATCATTCATGGAGAAAACAATTGTATTTTGGAATCCAAAGAGGAAAGGCTAAATTCTGGTTATATATGTCAATTATTCACTTTTACAAGTAGGATAATAATCTTTTTTAAAGATGCATTTCACACATTTCACTGTTTATTTTCTTGTTGAGTGAAACATCAGCACACTATCATTCAGCCCTGCTTGGAGCCCAGCTATAAATGCACCAGTGCATGAGTCTCACTAGAATGAAGATATCAAACCAAACTCTCACAAAAGTTGTCAGAAGATGATATAGAAAGATGAGGAGCTGATAATATGGCATCGCCCTCATAGCAAAAACAAGAACCCCTTTCCAGAATGTCTAAGAAGTGCCTGTGAATTGCTAACACCAATAGCGCTGTCTCTGGAAAGCACGTGCATCAGGAATAAATACGGAGCAATGAGAGGGATGCCCATGCATATTTGTTTAAGGGGAAGGATTGCTAAGAGTCCCTGGAATCATTTTCTGATTGTATGAGAGTGTGCAATACTGACCCATGGTGAAACAATGTAGGACAAGCACTGTTCAGTGAAGTAAAATACTATGAATTTGGCCTGGACTGATGACTATTGTTGACCAATGAAACCATTTGGAGGAGAGGAGAGCTAAAGCATGTTTTAACGTTTTTTGTTTTGTTTTTTTTTTGAGACAGAGTCTCACTCTGTTGCCTGGGCTAGAGCACCATGGCGTCAGCTTAGCTCACAGCAACCTCAAACTCCTGGGCTCAAGAGATCCTCCTGCCTCAGCCTCCCGAGTAGCTGGGACTACAGGCATGTGCCACCATGCCTGGCTAATTTTTTTTTTCTATACGTATATTTTTAGTTGTCCAGATTAATTTCTTTCTATTTTTAGTAGAGACGAGGTCTCGCTCTTGCTCAGGCTGGTCTCGAACTCCTGAGCTCAAACGATCCACCCACCTCGGCCTCCCAGAGTGCTAGGATTACAGGCGTGAGCCACTGCACCCGGCCAGCATGTTTTAACTTTTACATCTTCAGCTGAATAGTTCATTTTTAAAAAAACTCTCCAACTAATATTCCATATTACACAACACATTTAAATATCACAAATTATATAATGGTAAACAAAATGGAGAAAAACAGAGTCATGCAGAGCCCTACTCCCCAACAGCAACATTTAACCCTCTATTGATAATAATTGTAATAAATAATCATAATAATAGCTAAAATTATATAGGCATTTAATCACCCAATGAAGGAAATATTATTCTATTTTTTTTTTTTTTTTGAGACAGAGTCTCACTCTGTTGTCCATGCTCGAGTGCCATGGCGTCAGCCTAGCTCACAGCAAACTCAAACTCCTGGGCTCAAGCGATCCTCCTGCCTCAGCTTCCGGAGTAGCTAGGACTGCAGGCATGTGCCATCATGCCTGGCTAATTTTTTCTATATATTTTTAGTTGTCTGGCTAATTTCTTTCTATTTGAGATGGGGGTCTCCCTCTTGCTCAGGCTGGTCTCGAACTCCTGACCTCAAGAGATCCTCCCGCCTCGGCCCCCCAAGTGCTAGGATTACAGGCGTGAGCCACAGGAAGTATTATTCTTATTATTATTACCATCATTTTATAGATGCGGACATGAAGTTTAAGGAAATGCTGTGGTCAGCGATTATGATATGAGAGGAGTCAAGATTAGAAAGAAATTAAGGGGGAAGTAGTAAAGCAAATTATTACCTGACAATGAAATTGATTAAATAAATTGGTATATTGATGCAACAGAATATTATGCAGTCATTTAAAGTGACATTATGGTGAATAAACAATGTGGAACAACATATATGGTATGTGGTTAGAGACAAAGCAGTATTTGTGTAATATATATATATTTCTATGCAGATATCGTAACAAGAGGAACAATGTAGTGGATAACACAGTAGGTTTTAGAGCCAAACTGCTCAGGTTTGAATCTTGGCTCCAAGATTACATAATGGCTTTGTAGTAATGGGCCTTAACTTGTCTTTGTCTTATTTTCCTCATTGTCAGTAAAATTAGAATAACAATACTATCCCAGGGTTTAGGTAAAAGTTGAGTAAAATTATGCATGTAAAGCTTGGAGAATAATCTCTCACACACAGCGAGTGTTCAGTGAATGTTACCTGTCGTCATTGGTAGCTATTCTCCAAAATGCCGGCAGGAAAATCGTACTATATTTTAGCCACTGAAATTTTTTTGTAGGAACACTGAATAAGCAGCAGGGTAGGTTTTTAAATCTTTTCCTTACAAATGAAATCTAGGGCTACATCACAAATTGTGCAGTGTTTTGTGCTGCCTGTCACTGTACCAGATAGTCTCCAAGGCACCTTATTGCTCTGAGATTCTATAAATTACTGCAGCCTGCTCTCTCAGTGCTACATAGAGACATGCATCAGGGAGACCTCACTCATGCCTGCTTTCCCAGCAACAGCATGAATAGGGAAAGGGAGAGAAACTTCACTTTAAGTTTCTACTCATAAAACATTTATTATTACTTTTCTTTTGTGGCATATGCTTATTTTCTTTAACTAAAATAAGTTTTCTTTGCCTATATTTTTTCTTACATAATTTATTCTGTTGTGAAACAGCAAAAATATCAAGCTATATAATTAAGTTACCTATATGCATTATTGCTTTGGAGTTTTTGTTTGTTTTGGTTTTGGTTTTGTATTGGTCAGCATCCAGTGGAAAACAAAGGATCCTGAAGCTAATTTGAGGAAGGCTTAATAAAGGGACTAATTACAAAGGTGCGGCCAGAGTGTAGAGAAGCCAGCAATGGAATATGGTTCTCTTTGCCACACCCTTGGGAGCAGCTGCTACCCCTAGTCCAGAAGGATCAAGGAAGGAAATAAGGGTCTCTGTATGCAAAGGGCTGCCTGACGGCTGCTGTCTTCAGTAAGGAGGATGCAGCCAAAACAAGGTGATGGGTGTGGGGGTGGGAAGGAGAGTGGGGAGGCCAGAGAATAAATATTCCAACCTCCCTGTCCCACTGTCTGATCTCCTGTTGGTGCCTTCCAGTGGGAAACCCAACTGGAAAACAGAGGACTAAGAGCTCTGGATGCTGTCTACACAGGGAAGCAGCACATGCAAGGCACTAGAGCAGGTGGAGAAAGCTGGCAGGCACATTGGGAGGGGAGAAATGAAGATACTCAACACATTGTGTGCCCCATTGTCTTGAATCAAAAGGAAACTAATAAGCAGAAATTCAAATAAATAAAGGTACACAGTAAAAGCAAAAGTTCTCCTCTGGATACCCAATGCTACTTTCCAGGGATATAGTTTCATATGGACCCCATCCAAACAAGCAAACAAAAATAAGAATATCTTATTTCAATTTGAGCATATGCTGAAACTCTCCTTATAACACAAAATCATTATTAATGATTTTTAACAGATACAATTTTAAAGAAGTTAATAGGTATGCTGAAATTCATGAAAAACAAAGGAAAGACTTTAAGTGGATCAGAAATTATATGGATTTCTAAAATGAAAGCACATAGGCAGTCACAACACTAAGCCACAGCCCTAGCAGGGAATTGCAGAGGCTACAGGGGAAGGTGCCAAGCCCAGAATAAGGAAATGACTGCTGCAAAAAATAGACTTCTCATCAGCAATGCTGGATGCCATGAGATAAGGGAACAAAATACTCCAAATTCTTAAGAAAAATAATATTTTGCCAAACTATCATTTAACAGTGAGGATGGATTTGTGGAGGAAGAAAAGCCAACTTAAAGCCCTTATTAAAACCGTTGCTAAATGAGAACAGCTCAAAATAGCTGTTCTGCTGGAGAGCAGACAGGCTAAAGAAGTTAGGTATTGGACTGATGATGGTCAGTCAACATTTTACTATATTCTGAGAATTGTTCACTGTTCCAATTCAGAGAAGGTATGGGGAACTTGGGCTGTATTAGTCATGGGATAGGATTTAGTGACAGCAAAACTGAAGCTAAGGTTTTACCAGTTGTTAGTAGTCAATTTGGGTTTAGCAGAAAGTGTGAGAAGGAAGAGATGGGGGTCTAAATATTACTAGGGTCAGTGGAATAAATTCAGTTATTCAGGTTCTTTCACAATTTAAGGGCATTTTCAAACATAGCCCAATCTGGTGCTATATAGTCTTGCAGAGGAGCTATGAAACGTCAGTTCCCCATTCTACTTGGGACCATGCAGCACACAGTGAGGTAACTGGGGCCTGGAATAACTGTACACCAGAGTGTGCTGAGGACCTCTAGATCTATCTTAAGAAGTAGTTATTTACAGGGCTGCTATGTGTCATGTGCGTAGCCTTGTGTACAATCAGTTGATTCAACATCACTTAATTTGTTTATTAATGTATTGACTCTATTCACTGATACAACATGCTATCATGACTGGGTGTGGTGGCTCACACCTGTAATCCTAGCACCTTGAGATGCCAACGTGGAAGGCTTACGTGAGCTCAGGAGTTCAAGACCAGCCTGAGCAAGACCAAACCCCACCTCTACTAAATACAGAAAAAAAAATTAGCTGGGCAACTAAAAATAGAAAAAATTAGCTGGGCATGGTAGTGTGCACCTGTAGTTCCAGCTACTTGGGAGGCTGAAGAAGGAGGATTGCCTGAGCCCAGGGGTTTGAGGTTGCTGTGAGCTGGGGTGATACCATGACACTCTAGCCCGGGCAACAGAGTAAGACTCTGTCTCCAAAAAAATAAAAAAATGCTATCATGAAATTCCTCATATGTGATAGGCATTGTTCTAAGTAAGCATTAGCTATCCAAAGATAAAAATAAATCTTAGTCTTTTGCTGGGGAATCAGCTCATCAT